TACAGGAAATAAGAATTTTCTTATATACCACAAAAATCAGGGTTAGCTACCAAACTCGTAAGAACTTATAGGATGGAAGCGCCTTACTCTCCAACGTCAAAACCGTATACCCAATCGAATGGATGATAGCCTGGATAGTTGCAACCCTAGCGACAGCCCGATGGAAGAGATTGAACGTCCCAAAACTCCAACCAGTTGCCCATAGAAATGCGTTATTCCTTGAACCAAAAAGCCATAATAAGGACAAATTGGCATAAGACATTATGCCCGTCCTATCGGATAGATATCGCCATGATTGGGTCCAAATATCATCCCAACTGAAGTCACTCGAGTTAGTTATATCCGATATACGTCTAATATATCTAAATATTCCTGTAGTGAAAGGGGGGGGAACTAACAATAGATTTCCTTTGAATACGTCGTAGCCAACACAGGTAAGGACAAGACTAAGTATATAAAACAAAACTATCACAACCGCCTCAATGCGCGTTGGCACTGAGCACCAGTAAAACAGCCGTTGATGATGAGTCCCAAATGCCGCAGGGATAATGAAGTGAGTTCTGACCCAATGTTGCAATGAGGGGAACGGCGAAAACACCCGTGAGATCCTGGATTTGGAGAACTGAGCTAACAGGCGGCTTATCATGCCAGTGACGAGCACAATGCCCCAGAACCAATAAGAAAAGCAACTATATAACATTAATATTAGCCTTATTTGCAAATATAAATATATAAACTAGGCAAAGACATACCCGAATGCATGATGTGACCAACTCTCAAAATCCCATGCTTTCTGTTCAAGAAATCCATGTTAGCATCGAACAACTAAAAGCACAACATGATATTTCTGAGCGATTTTGAAAGTAGTTAATGAGAAAAACCAACATTCGTCCTCAGCACCCTCCACCACCAATCCCTCGAAACCACCACCACCTCGTCCAACTCCACCCCTCTCGACAACTCCTTATACTCCACTACCCTCAGACCACGAAGATACTCCTCCGTCAAGCTAGGCTCAATAATTCCATACGGAATCCGCTCCAGCCCTTCCTTCTCACAATCGCGATCCAGAATGAGCAGACCATCTTCGATTTCGGACGGAGTGCAGTAGAGTTTTGCAGAGGCGTAGATGGAGTAAGTGCGTAGTTTGTTGGTGCATGAATCGACAAGATAGGGGGTGGATAGGGAGCCGGTAAACGAGAGGCGGGAGACAGCTTCAACGATAGAAAGAACGCAGCGTGCTGACTCCAAGTTTGGGCTCAAGGCCAGTGAGAGGCCCGGGATGAGGAGTAGAGGGAGGAGAGTTTGGGTATGCATGTTTGATGATTTATGCCTAGAGCCTCTCTGGATTTCCCTTGAGCGGTGGTGTCTTTGGAAATGGAGCAGCTGGCGAAGTAGATTGGTTGGACAAGTTCCAGCCGCTACCGGAAGAGAATCGCACGGGTATATAGCCTCAAAATAACAGTAGGTAACATCGTATCCAAAAGTAACCTCAGTTCCGCAAGATAGGACGAAAAGACTGTGCTGTGTCGGAAAAAGAACGACGGCGCAAAAGTTGTGCCTCCGGGCGGAACAGAAGCACCGAAACCCGAGATAAGAAATTTAAAAACAAGTGCAAAAAGAGCGGCGATTGTGAAATAGTTAACCAATCCCTCTTCCAGACACCCGCTGGACAATGTAGCTGTTTCTCTGCTGTCCAATTCAGCAATGGCGGGAGGGGTTTTTATCAATCAAATCAATCAGCGATCGACCCATGGGCCATCAGCCGCCCGGTTCGGATCTGATAAGCAATAGCCGAGCGAAAAAAAGACAACCACCCCACCACGTGAAATCCAGCCCTCGCCCGATCGCCTCTGACGGCAAAAGCGGAAAGATGTCTGCAAGTCTGTACAAATATGATAGGGAGAAATAGATGTTATCAAACTCTTGGTTCCGCCTGTAAAGTCCCCCGACTCTTCCCCTGGAAAAAACTTGTCCTGCGTTGCACAACTTACTATGTATCCGACATGATACTAGTAAGATAACTTTATTCCATCCATCCAGTAGCTTCAGTCTGATAAAAAAAAACATCCCATTGTATACAGGTTCAGCTAAATCAACCCCAGGTTTACACTATTTTGACCCCATTTTTTTGTGCTAGTCCTAATCAGGAAAAATAAGCAGTCTATTTCAACCCCACAACTGGCACACTAAGCCTAATTGGGAAATATATGGTCTATTTGCACCCCCCCACCACAGGCTGCCACAGGGGGGAGAGGGAGATTTTCAAAGCATATTGCAGGCATCTTCCTTAATTAATCTCACAGTAGATAAGAAATGATAGGAATAGTGCTATTAACAGCCAAAAAATAAAGGTAAATGATCATAAGATATCAAATATAAGGAAAATATTGAAAAATGAAGGAAATCTATAAAATCTACCTAGAAATCTCTTAGTTCTATATATTTTCCATGTTTATATTAAAAACATTCTGCATGCTCTACATTTAAATGTTCAAATTATTATTCTTAACTGTAATAGATGCTCTACTCCCTCTATTCTTACCTCTCTATTTTTATTCCTATAGGTGCCCACAGGGATATTCTCATCCTCTTGCCTGTATAGGAGATGCTATCAGATCTGCTGCTAGATCTACTACCTATTAATCTCTCTCTAATATCAAATCAACCTGTTCAAATTATGAGAGGATTTACCCACTTACTGTAATAAGAGCTATATAACTATATGAATATAAAACTATCCATTCTAATTCATTAACTACTAGATAGTAATTAATTAGTTCTGAATCTAAGGCATTAAGATATCAGTATAAATTGAACTCTTCTACCATTAAGTACATTCCATTAATAAGATACTATTAAATAATATAGGCACAGAAGAGTCCTATGATAGTTTAGAGGTAATCTATACAGAGAGGAAGGTAAGTATCTACATCTAAATTGAATTACTTTATAACATTTAGGATTTTATTAAAGGTATAGGGTAATATAATAGTTATGTAGTCTTTAAATAGCAGTTTTGTATATCTATAGTTCTGACTGATTTTTTTGCTGGTAATCTCATTGAGAATCTCTGAATTCTGTATAATAAGATAATTGTGAAGATATAGGATTACATCACTAATATGAGAAATACTAATGTGAGATAGAAGATCCTTTATTACTTTGTGGTATCCCTCTACTTGCAATGTTATAAGATTTCTATAGTGAATTATTTAGTTGATCTAGGCTGCCATGATCTTTTCCTTATGAGGAATTCATTAATTTGCTAAATAGTTAATAATAGCAGGATAGAGTATCTAATATTTGCAGTAAAATGCCTTCCAGATGATAGTATATTTCTCCTTAGTAACTACATAGAAAAATGTTGAGATATCTACATTAATAGATTTAAATGTTGCATTGACATGGATAGTAATCACTATATCAGAGAGATTTTGATGCAGAGATTCATTGTGCAGGTATTTTTTAATGAATGTTTGTATATTGCATTTAACATGCTATATATAGAGTAGGTGTTTTGTACATGATGATAGCAAGGTATGAAAACATGCTGCAATAAATAAGAAATCAGCATTACTAATGATGATAGTAGGGTAAGGAATTTAGCAGGTTATATGATATATTTACAGCAGGTAGTTTAATAACTATATATATATTTAAGTTGTTTTCCTCATGAATGTACTGTCTATATAGAATATATAATTTATAGATGTGCAACCAACTATATTAATCATTAGAAGGTTGAAGTGGTTAATCTTATATATAGTGTCTATAAGGATGACCTCAGGGAAATTGTGTAGAAAGGCCAGAAAGACCTTATAAAAGAAGGCAATCTAAGTAATCTAATTATTAATATTTCTGATGTTAAAAATAATGAAATTGTTTGTGAAATCTATGAGAGTTACTTGTATTTAAAGATGCCTGGCTAAAATTCAATATTATATAACCTGCCATTAATTATATATATCCTTCACAGTAATTGCCAGATTCCTGTTGAATTCATACTATATTAATGTCATTATTTAATAGGCTATCAACCTGCTCATTAAATATCAATTGATTGATAGTAATACTTACTTAATATCTTAATATCTGTATAGGGATAGTGCAATCTCATCTGCTGAGCTATAATTATGATGTGAATTCATAACTATTAACATCTAGTTCCTATTAAACCTATTAAATGCCTTATTATCACTGTGGTTATAGAGCTGTAGTATAAATAGGCAGTCTATCTTATATATTGACATGTGAGATCTCTTAATCTGATAGTTATTAATTGCCATATATTTTAATTTGTAACTGTTATCTCTATCATACTGTAGGTAAACTTACTGTTTTGTCTCTCAAATCTGATTAAGGATTTACTTATTACAGCATCAAATTGTGACAATATAATTATAAAAGTGAGCTCAGTTATTAATATACTATCTAGCATCTACCTTGAAGGCAAAAATTCCTTCTGAGAGAGGGGGGAGTGCAGGTGTAAGTGCAGGCACAGATGCAGGGCATTCATCTATAGGGGGAATAGAGGTGAGATTGATTTCAATGACTTCTATGATATATTTCATAATGGTGGGAGTGATAGTAGGGATTTTATTATTTTTATAGTCAGAATTATCTAAATTGCTAGGGGCACTAAAGAATTTGATATTGCTGCTTCCATTCATAATAAAGATAGTGTAAAATAATGTGTAAGGTAGTTCAATTTGATTCAATTTGTAGAGGGTAGAGGATAATGTTGTGAGTTAGTGTAAGAGGCTAGAGCTATTCCATTAATGACTAAGTAGGTTGGGGTGCAAATAGACTATATATTTCCCAATTAGGCTTAGTGTGCCAGTTGTGGGGTTGAAATAGATCACTTATTTTTCCCAATTGGGACTAGTGCAAAAAATGGGGTCGAAATAGTCAAAACACAGGGTCAATTTAGCTGAACCCATTGTATACGCATCTGCCAGTCAAGACGCATTCCAATCAGTTACCTACCATCAAGCCAAGGCACTATGGCGGAGTGGTTAACGCGATGCCCTGCTATCCCCAATTCGTTGAGTATATCAGTCCAGGCATTTCCTTCGGGAGCGCAGGTTCGAATCCTGCTGGTGTCGGATTTCATTTTTTACTTTTTTTACATTTTCTTTTTTGGGCCGCGGTGGAACATTCAATTTTTTCTTCTGGGGTTCGACAATCTCTTTGATGAGATAGAGCAAAAGAAAGAGATACAAAGCGAGAGAGGTGGTAGATACCCCCCCGCTCCCAAACAATCCATCCATATTCATCCCCTCCCTTCGAGGCCCAAAGCCCAGCACCACGGCAAATCCCAGAACAACCCCGCTCGAAGCCTGACGATTTGATGTGATCATGTGCTGTATAAAGATGTCCTGTTCCTGTGCTCTAAAGGCGGTTCCCTCAGGGGAATGTTTATTCTATGCTCGGTTTCTATGCGGGAATTGACTCCGTACTAGGATGGATCAAGGTGGATCGTACAGCACCCCGTCTTAACTCACTGCGGTAGGAAACATGCACATAATGTTATTCTCATACACTGCTGTCGCCAAACAGCATAACATAGCATAGCATACATAGCTAATCAAACTCGCCTATCAGATAAAATAACCCGCATCTCGAATCAATAGACAAGATGGTATATATAGATAGAAGCCTAACCAAAAACAAAAAAAACGAAAACGAAAGAAAAGAAGCAAAGGTAAAAAAACCTCCCCTTCTACAAGGGCACCCAAGGTTCCCTTTCCCACCCAAGACGGAAGATGGAGCGAAACAAAAAGAAGGAATACACAAAACCGCCAAACCGCCAATGAGAAAGAATCGACAAAATTAACTTCCCCCTTATAAAAACGGAAAAGGAAAGGGACAGAATGGAATATGCATGCCACCCGGTAAGAAAAATCTGCTATACCCGCCATTCGCCTGTCATATATATGGGGTAAATGTGAATCGAAAATTAAACATGGGTAGGTAATATTACAATCGTAAGCCGTTTCCTCCGTGGGATGCAGGGCAAGCCAAAAAACGAAAAAAATGGATTCAAGCGTCCTCTCCAAACAATAATGATAAATAAAATCAATCCCTGTCAAGAATCCAAAGAGTGACGCCTGAGTTAAATGCAACCAAGAATACAAAATCCAAGAGGAAAAGGCAAGGACGAGGCAGGGTTCGCTGTTTCGGTATCTATATGGAGAATCGAATGAAGAACACAAATCTAAAAAACATGGGCTGGCGACATTAGGCGCGGGTGCATATGTATAAGGCGGGAATATAGAATGCGCAAGGGAAAGCAATGATCGCTTGTGATTTGTTCGGGTCGGCTGATAAATAAGCAAGCAAAATGGATACGTGATTGCGTCTTGGGAACGAATAGTAATTAATTAGTGGAGTGTATTTTCTCCTTTGTTCCATTTCTGTCCGGGCCTGGCTGAGTATAAGTCGAGAGAATAGGGTTGACCGGGCATATTGAGCGAAAGGTATGAATCGAATGTATTATAAATATTCCGCGGTGGCGCGGGAAGAAGGTATATAATCGTCGCGGGATAAATCGTTACAAAAGCAAAATCGAGAAGGCGTGATTCGGGACGGGTGTCGGTTTAAGGCGTTTTTGAAAGACGGTAGGAAAATTACTGCATCATGCTTTGGACCTTTTCTCGTTCGGCCACGATCTCCATCTGGAGCCTTCGTGTCTGGCGGAAAGCTTCATCTCTGTTCGGAGAAAAGTAAATTTGTTAGTTAATAAACGAGCACTTCAGCAATTGGAAGGCGAAGGAGAAGGAGGTGGCGGCATATACCTGTCAGACTGCAACTCAGCAACCTCAATCTGGGCCATGTTCATGCGACCCACAACATCTTCCATCTCATTATCAGCGTCGCGCAGAGCCCTCTCAAGTTCCTTCACCTTGGCCTCTAGAGCTTCGGTTTTCATTACCTGACCTAGGGACATTCCTGCTCCGCTCGTCGTGGTGTCAAGTCTCGGGGAGCGGGGGCCAGCGAATGGCGAATGAGGCATCATCGGGGAGAGTAAGCTGGGGCTCTTGATGCCGTTCTTTGCGCGGAATAGCTGAGCATTATGGCTTTCTTTCAAATTATCGATCTCCGTTTCATGCTTCGAAACCTCTTCTTCCGAGATCTGCTGCGCGACCATCAGAGCATCCTCTAGGAATTTGAGTTTAGTCTGCATCTCGCTGATTCTGGCTGCCGACAAGGTTTGTTCGCGTTCCCCCTTTCCAATAGCATCGGCTAGGCGTTGTCGTAGGGAGTGATTAGTAGCCAACTGCTGGCGAACTTGGCTTGAGAGGGCATCATTAGACTCCAGTGGGGTTCCAGGTGCGCTTGAATCGGCATGCGCCCTATCGGCCTCGAGCTGCCTGTAAGCATCTTCAAGAGATGAGCTAGATACGTTGAAGTCCTCCATAGCAGCAGCGTGGTTTCCAGGAACGACATCTTGCTCCTTCAAAAGGGCGCGTAGGGACCGGGTTTCCTGCTCAGCTCGATCTAGATCCATCTTCAACCCTCCCAATCCCTTCTCGCATTGCCATTTTTGCTCCAGAGCCTCATCCGCACGGCGCCTAAGAAGATTGATTTCCTCCCTTAGGTTCACAACGTCCCGCTCGTAGCCAAGTCTCCGTGGAGAACTTGATTGACGAGCGCGGTCCAGTTCCAATTCAAGCATCCGGACGCGTTTCTCATGTTGCTTGGCCTGGAAGTTCTGGCGTTCGAGAAGGCTCTTCACAGTTTGATGGAGAGCGTCACGCTGCGTTTCCACGTCCTTCACTCTATCCACCAATGACTCCTTAAATTCACGCTCTTTGCCGATCATAGATGTTGGTCTGGAGCTTGGCCTCGAGACAGATCCGGACCTGGCTGAGCCAGGCTGTCTATTGGGCAGCCGTGCAAGGGAATTCGACCGCGATAGGCCAATGGAACGTCTCGTCACTGATTCGTCATCCTCTTCGGCTATCGAATTTATGCGCGCTTGTTGCTGTTGCATTTCTAGTTGAATTTTCCTTGCTTGGGATAATGCATTGTTTTCAGTTCGTAGTCCCTGCAAGTCTTGCTGCATCTTAGCTTGAAGCTGAGGTATTACTTCATCCCGAAGATGATCGCGTTCGTTTCGATGTTGTTCGAGCTCGACTCGCATGGCCGTTAGTAGATCTTCAAAGTTGTCTTTTAGTTGTCTTTCCTCGGTCAAACGTCGTCGGGTATCCTCTAGCGCGATCTCGAGCTCCTTTGCCTTGTAAGCCATGTTCGACACATCCACCTTTTCTCGTCGTAACTAATGGAATGTGTCAGCCGCAAAACATTTAGTAACAAAAAGCAGGGACAGTTCAGTTCATACCGAATCAACTTGGCCTTCAAGTATCTTCACATGAGACTCAAAAGCATGGCGCCGAGATCTCTCTTCTTGCCACTTTTGAGACAAGTCAACCTTTAACTGGGCTCGTTCCTGTTCGAGAGTTCGTTTCAATCTTTCAACGTCTTCCACCCTGCCGCCACCAGCATCACTTAGTGGGTATTTCACAGAACTAGTCCCGGAATCTGAGAAGTAATCGCTGGTTCGACGGTTGGGATCAGAGCTTAGAGTAGTCTCCATCTGTAATCTCTCAACCATATCTTCCAGCTCCATCTCCCGTCGGATCGAACCAGCCAGTTCTGAGCTGATTTCCCGCAATTCATTTTCCATCTCCATCATCTTCACAGCCATGTCCTGCTCGGTCGACGCCGTCGCGATGGACATTGACCTGTCCGGCATTCTGGGGACTGGTGGTGGGTATGACTCGAGAGAAGTGAATCGTGACGAGTGTGAAGTTTGCAGCGTAGAGGCATTCATCGGGGATGGGAGCGGTGAATGGCCGGTATCTGATATTTCGGTACTGCTAGATTCCGCCCCGGGCGAAGACGCGGTTTTCCAGCCAAAGAACGAGGTGATTTTGTTCCCTGGCGTCTTTGGCTGGTTCTTGTATTCGTTTGAGCCTGACGACATTGCTCTGGAAGAATCGACGCGCAACGGTGGACGTTTGGTTGTGGGGGGATGTAAAGCCATTGTGACAGATCGTTTGTGATCTGTACTTTTCTGGGATAGGGTAGGGGAGGCAAGAGGGACTATGGGCTCGCTGACCAGGCGAGAGTGAATGGAATGTTCCAGTTGAGACCCATTCGAGGCACCAAATATGCTCTCCCTTTGTTGGTCGTCGGTTCGTGGAGAGCCAAACGCGGGAGATTTGCCGTGAGGGAACCTAAAATGTTGAGGAAATAAGGCATTGGTGAGCAATGCGAATCATTTGAGCCTGAATGGGGAAGACAAAGGAGGGGGGAATGTCCGGGGTCGAATAATGAAATAACAAACGCACCTATCAAGATCCCTCACGACAAAAGCAGGGGATTCCTCCGCTGGGGAAAACGGCGAAGAACCGAGCGACCCGTTGGGATTGGCCGGCGGCTTTATGTCCACAGAGGAGGAGGCGCTGGAGGGAAGAGGCTTCCTACGGACGGGGGACGCAACGACAGGTTGGCCGTTCGCGCGAAATGTCTGGAGAGGGAGAGGAGGAACTCGCTGGCGTTGTTGCAGAGGAGTGGAATAGGAGGGCGGCATCGACAGGAGGTTGGCATTTGGATCGGTAGCGCCCGGTGGTGGAGGAAGATGGGCAGACATGGTCAAGATCTGGGGATGATTGACCACTCAGGGGGGGGATTGACGACGTCCCTTTGACCCCCCAAGCGGAACAGGCATGGACGGACGGAGTCTATTGGCGACAATCACTGCTCGAATCGATGTCGATTGAAGGTAGTCAAAGATGGGTCGGCATGGGGCAGACGCCACAAAGAGCAGCACAGCGATAAGGGTGGAAACGGTCTCGGTACTACATTCGGATTTTCCAGCAGGGAAGGGAGAAGAAGGTGAAGGGAAGCGCAAGGACCAGGAGCATGCATGCTCTGATTGTCGGTGGAGGAGAACAGTAATAACTAGCGCTGTCTGGCTGGGAAGAATGTTGGACAGTGCTCCAGTGGGCCTCTACGACAGCGGAGGCATGGCTAGTGCGGAATGGCCACTGAGATGATGAGATCAGGGGAAGATGGGCTGCTCAGGGAGATAGTCGGT